TACTTCTACTAAAATGCTAATAACATTACACACATGGGTTTGTTAATGTATCAACAGAACATTAATGCATTTTTTTAAAGAAATTCTGAACAACAACAAAAAAAAGATTAAGCATTGAGCACAAAATAAAAGATACAAATATAATATTCCACGAATTACTAAATATCGTAAACATGTTAAAGAAAATGTTTACTCAAGTTACAAAACAAATTCAGCGATGCTTGAGACGTTTATGACCATGAAGATGGTCTTTACGACTGTACGTCTTCCCACAGATGTCACACGAAAAACTCTGTCTAATTTCACGGTGAGTATTCAAGTGTCGAGAAAAACTGGCTTGGTGAAAAAAGCTGCGACAGTAAGGGCACATTTTTTTCTTGAAACTTGTTTTCTTACAAGCATCCACAATGTGAACAGATCCAAAGAGTTCTATGTCTGATACCAGGCTTCCTAAAATCAGAGATAAAAAAAAAAAAGATAAAATATCAATATTTTGTGAGATCATGTTACTAGGAACATACAGAAAAAAGATACACTTTCATAAGACCACCCCCCAAAAAAAAGATTAACAACAATAGTACATTTAAAAAAAAACTCATTTTTCTTTAGGGTTGCATTATGAAGTTATATGGTAATCTAAAAGTGGTTAACAGAAATGGTTAATTCTATTGTGAGGTAATCAATATTTTTCCAATAACTCACAAGTTATGGATACATCACCATTTTCAGGTGAGTTATAAATCAGTTTGATTTATAAGTTAACCAAAATATTTGGTTAATATAATAAAGTATTTTACTCCTACAAACTTCAACATGCAAGAATCTCACAAAAGAATATTTAATTTCTGCACCACAGTTCTATCATTTCCATGAATTTTACTTTTCAGAATTTACTGAAATTTAATACAGAATAATCTGTATTTCAGTAAAAAATAGCAAACACAATATTTGTAAGAGAAATAACTATATATGTACAATTTTAACACAACAATAACAACAAAAAATTAAACATCAAGTCTTTATTAAAAAAACTTTTATTTTTTAATGGCTAACCAAAAGACAGCATAAAATGTGTTTTCACTCTACTTGAGTAAACAGCTGTGATACTTTGTTGCTGTTAAATAGGTTATTGTTTCTGTGGAACATTAAGTAGAGTAGGCACAACAGGTTTGAGAATTTTAAGGGACTGCAACTGCCCACTGAATGAAAATGGAATGACGTTTCATCTTCTATACTGAGGCCTTCTTCAGATCTATAAGAGGTTAGACACTTTTTTACAGCCATGTCTGAATGAAATCCAATTCCATCTTCATGATAATTAGGAAAATCCACCCATTTCTTCACTAAAAGTTGGAGTAAAATTATGAAAAAGTTATATTAGAAAATCAGAAGTCCCCATCAATAATGGAGGCCACTGCTGAGTGACAGAGCAGAAATGTTTAATGGTCCAATCCAAAAGATAATACTGATATTATGGGAGAAAATCCAATTATGTAAAGCTGTTATGTTGAAGTCAAATTTCAGTATTTTTTCTTCAAAAAAATTGAAAAGAATGAATAATAGAATGAACATTTACTAGAATATGGACTATCTTTTTACAACTTTTCCTCAAAATTATCACTCTATGCATTTCATTCACTGCCTAAACAGCAAAAAAGAAAAAAAAGAGTGAAATTAATACACCCAGAATGTAACACAAATTCATATCTTTAAATATTCAAGAATTATACTTACTTGCACATTGGTCTATCAAATATTTGCTTAACCATAATGCTAAGTTTTGAGTTTATAGAATAACCAGGAAGGTAATGTGCAATTCAAAATGAAAAATGTAACTTACATCTCCTGGTTCATGTTTTCTTTTTAAAGCAATCTCGAATAACAGAAAAATAGGGTTTTCACACCAATGTTTCACTATTAGACTAAAATGCACAAATAAACATATGAGATACCTAATAGAGGATAAAATACGGGTCATGTCCCATATAAAAACGTATGTGATTATCACAGCTTTTGACAGCAAAGAAACATTTATTGGTCAAGGAAATATTTTTCTCTTAACAAACATGATTAGAAAATTGTTACAAATTTCCCTGTTGTTGTTTATGATCACATAAATCTGTGTTTGGTACGTTTATGTTCAACTAAGCTGTCTTTCCGACTGTACATCTTGCTGCACACATCACAGTTGAAATATTCTCGTACTTCTCTGTGCGTATTAAGGTGACGAGCAAAACCTGCATAGTGAACCAAACGCTGGCAATACGGACAGAGCTTGTTTTTCAGATTGGATGACTTGACTGACGAAGATGAACTGTCAGAACCAAGAAGCACTAGAAAAATTTATCAACAGTTATAAATGATTAGAAAAAAATCTGACCTTAAAAAAACAGTCTTACGATATATATTTAAGTAAGATCCATATGTCACAAGTATAGGAGGCACCGAAAACCTGATAATTTTATCTACTTTAACCACATAATGAATATTTTCTAAATTTTATTATTGGTTACCTTCCTTACAGTCAACAAAATTTTGTTGGGCCAAAAGTCTGATATACTTTCAATTAACTGTAATCAAGCAAGACACATCACAGTAACGGATCTTCTTAATTCAGTTTACCAACCTTGTACATGTGATATTTTTTGGACTATGTATATGCCAAACTTAGAAGTACAGCAAGGAAAATAAGGTTTGGTTAGCAAATATTTGGTCAGTAAAGAAACGACCTGGTGTATGATACATTATTCTCTTGCGTAAGTAAACCTGGAAATACTAGCACTTAGATGGTATACAAACCATTTGGTGTATGATACACATTTCTCGTGTGTAAGTAAACCTGGAAATACTAGCACTTAGATGGTAAACAAACCACCTGGTGTACATTTGTTCACTTGTGTCAGTAAACTTGAGAATACTATGTTTGAAAATATTGTTTAGTGGTAAACATATCATCCAGTGTATAGTAAATGTTTACATTTTGATTACATTGTTTTTACAACTTCTGAATGTAGTATACAATGAATAGGAGTTTAAATTTGATAATGATGAATCCAAACTTTAGAAAACCATCCTTTTGAGGTTCCATCTGATTACCTGAAATGAAAAATAAGTAGCTACCAGGTACAGTTTTTTTTACTAAACACTTCAACATTTAGTTTTGAAATATTCTGCTCCAATTATATAACTTTATTTGCTAC